GTCAGCTCCTAGTGTAGAGTATATTATCAACATAAATGAACACTATGATATGTCCTCATCCCCTCTAATTTTCTCAGCTGAAAAAAAAAAAGAAAAGAAAAAAAAGTTAAAAGAAAGCGTAAGAAATTTGAGTAGATCAAATTTTCACAACGGCTCCAACATAAACAAAATACAATGTATAATTATTTTTTATTAATTACAAAATAAATGTGAGCATCGGCGAACAAATTAGCAGTGAAGATACCAATAAAATTGAGATGATTGCTTCTAGTTGGAAGTGATGGGTGTAGAACCGGCCAGCGCTGGGTGTACAAATGAGCAAATAGTGGGAATGGGATTAGGATTCTCTCCTAATCTAAGGATGAAGATCCTCATGACCAAGGGATATGGGCCGTTGGATGAAAATTCAACGGTTATAATTATTATAATTTTAAAAGGACCTCCTGTTTGTAGCCGTTGGATTTTCATCCAACAGCCCACATTCCTTGGTTATGAGGATCCTCATCCTTAGATTAGGAGAGGATCCTGGGAGTAGCATGTGGGTCCCGTGATTTGTTGTAATTGACGTTTTTTATTAGGGATAGGATTTTCTTCCCTCTTTTTTTTTTTCTTCCCTTTCTTTTTCTTATATTTGAACGAAAACGGTTAAGCTACATCAACATATTACATTAATTTTTTTATAGCAAGAAAAAAAAATAAAATAAAATAACGTAAGATAAGAAATTAAAAAGTGATGAGAAAAGGATGTGAGAGAATTCTGTTTCTTCTTACTGATGAAGAGCACTAGCTAATACTTTACTAAAGTAGAATGATTGATGCTCTCCACAAAAAAAAAAAAAAAGTAGATTGATTGATTGTGTTTTCTAATTTGTCTGATTTTAATCATTCAATACTTTATTAAGCCACTAGACTAAAGTAAAAGACAATTATGAAGACCAGCAGTAACATATAGACCGGTCTCGTTTTCATTTTATGCATGGAATTATATGTGAGTGGCTGCATATAAAGACTAGCGGGAGGAGCCATCTTTCGCTACGCAAAACCATTTTTCTTGTCCTGAATCTAAGAAATGGCGGAAGGAGTTCTCTTCAACGTTGCAGGAGGGATCATTGAGAGGCTAGGCTCCCTAGCTTTCCAAGAGATTGGATTGATTTGGGGTGTCCAAGACGAGTTCCAGAAGCTCAAAGAGACAGTGGCCAGATTCCAAGCTGTTCTTCTTGACGCTGAGCAAAAGCAAGCCAACAGTGAAGTCAAACTGTGGCTCCAAAGTGTAGAAGACGCAGTTTATGAAGCCGATGACGTGTTGGATGAGTTTAATACTAAAAATCAACGGAGAAAAATGATGCCTGAAAATACAAAGCTATTAAAAAAGGTACGCCCCTTCTTTCTTTAGCTCAAATCAACTTGCTTTTGGGCTAAAAGATAGGACATAAGATAAAAGATATTAACAAGAGGTTTGGTGAGGTTGCATCTCATAGAACCTTTTCATAGTCACATTAGCCTATAGATATCCACCTATTAGGAATACAACAAGTCTCTCAATAACTCAATTAACTGCAATAAGTTCTCTGCGTTATTATTTTGAATGTTTCATATAACTTAACGTTACAAAACTCTATTAACTTAATTAATATAGTTCTTTCATATTAATGATTATGTCTATTCAAATTCTTACAGGTGAGCCTTTTTTTTTCTAGCTCAAATCAACTTATTTTTGGGCTGAAGATGGGTCATAAGATAAAAGATATTAACAAAAGGTTGAGTGAGGTTGCAAATCGTAGAACCTTTCACTTAGAAGTAAATCGTGAAGATACACGATTTGTAAAGAGAGAGAGGGTCACTCACTCATTTGTCCGTAAGGAAAATATTATAGGGAGAGATAAAGATAAAATGGCAATTATCCAACTTTTGTTGGATTCCATCTCAACTGAGAATGTGTCAACCATTTCCATAGTTGGAATTGGAGGATTGGGAAAAACTGCACTTGCCCAACTCATCTTCAACGAGGAGGTGATTCAAAAGCATTTTGAGTTGAAAATATGGACATGTGTCTCTAATGTATTTGAATTGGATATAGTTGTTAAGAAAATCCTTCAATCCAAAAATCATGACGAGATTGAGCAGTTGCAAAATGATCTTAGGGAAAAAGTAGATGGGAAGAAGTATCTACTTGTGTTGGATGACGTGTGGAATGAGAATCGAGAGAAGTGGCTTAGCTTGAAGAACTTGTTAATGGGTGGTGGAGAAGGTAGTAGAATACTAATAACCACTCGTAGTAAAATCGTTGCAACGATATCAGACGCAGCTGAATCATACATCTTAAAGGGTTTGAATGAAGAGCAAAGTTGGTCTTTATTTAAGAAAATGGCTTATAAAGATGGAAAGGAGCCAGAGAATTCAACAATTAAGGCAATTGGGGAAGAGGTTGCAAGAAAATGCCAGGGAGTGCCACTCGCTATAAGGACGATAGGTGGGATGTTGTTCACCAAAGATGACGAAACTGATTGGTTGAATTTCAAAGAAAAGACACTTTCAAAAATAAATCAAGAACAAAATGATATTTTACCAACACTTAAATTGAGTTATGATGTGCTCCCATCACATTTGAAGCATTGTTTTGCTTATTGTAGTTTGTTCCCACCTGATTATGAGATCTCTGTACAGAGATTGATTAGACTTTGGGTGGCGCAAGGGTTCATTAAGTCAACTGATGAAAACAAGGGTTTGGAGGATGTTGCATATGAATATTACAAGGAGTTGTTGTGGAGATCATTTTTTCAAGAAGAAGAAAAAGATAAGTTTGGTATAATAAGAAGTTGTAAAATGCACGATCTCATGAATGAACTTGCAATCTTAGTGTCGGGGGTTGGAAGCGTCGTAGTTGAACCAAACCAAAAGAATTTTCATGAAAAGCTTCGTCATGTATCTTTCAATTGTCAAATTGATCCGTTGGAAAGGGAAGTGCCAACTTCGTTGCCAAAAGCAAAAAAGTTACGAACTTTTCTTTTTCTTTGCCAAGAGGAGTTGAGTGATAGAGATGGGTCATTTTGTGCTACAATTGTTTCAAATTTTAAGTCATTGCGTATATTGAGTCTTAATGAATTGGGAATTAAAAGAGTACATAAATGTCTTAAAAAAATGAAACATTTGAGATATCTTGAGCTTAGTGGGAATCCCATGAAGAGACTTCCAGATTGGATAGTTGGACTTTCGAATTTGGAAACACTAGATCTCAGTTGGTGTGAAAGTCTTGTGGAGTTGCCTAGAGACATTAAAAAAATGATCAACTTAAGGCATCTCATCTTGGAAGGCTGTTATGGATTGAGTGGAATGCCACTTGGAATAGGTGAATTGAATGGTGTTCGTACATTGAATAGATTTGTTTTGAGCGAAAGCAATTGTTTGGGGAGGGGCGGTTGTGCTGGTCTTGCTGAGCTGGGGACCCTTAACGAATTAAGGGGAGAATTACTCATAAAGAATTTGAGGCACGAGAAAGATGTGGTGTCAGAATCAAATGTAGGTACACCTCTCAAGGACAAACAGCATCTTTGTTCGTTGGGTTTACGCTGGAAAGAGGAAGATGTAAGGGGAGTTGATGAGGAGGATATTATAAAGTCAATGGAAGTATTGCAACCCCATTCTAATCTAAAGCAGTTGTCCGTGTATGGCTATAGAGGTGTGAGGTTTGCGAGTTGGTTTTCTTCTCTCACAAATATTGTTAATCTCGCATTGTATTGGTGTGAGAGATGCCAACATCTTCCACCCTTGGATCATTTCCCTTCCCTTAAGTTTCTTGAACTCAGAGAGTTGAAGAAGTTGGAGTACATATCAGAGAATGAGAGCAGTAACAGTATGAGTGATGAGATGATGAGGATCTCATTCTTTCCCTCCCTGGAAAAGCTCTCCATAGAAGATTGCCCTGTTCTGAAGGGATGGTGGAGGCCCCACACTCATAACAGTGCTTCTTCATCAACGGAAAATCTGTCGTTGCCGTCTTTTCCTCGTCTTTCTACATTGTCTATTGATGAGTGTCCTAATCTAACTTCCATGCCTCTGTATCCAAATGTGGTTGAAATAGAACTCTACAGGAGCAGCTGGAAGGTTGTTGATTCCTTGTTTGTTAGAGGAGCATCTGATATTCCACATGATGTCGGTGTTGATGTTTCTGCCTCTTCTTCTTCCCCTCATTTCTCCAAATTAACACATCTGACACTCGGTGGAATTGAGGATTTGGCATCACTGCCAGAAGAAATAAGCAATCTCACGTCATTGCAAGAGCTTGTAATTGCAGAATGCTCTAATTTGACATCACTGCCAGAAGAAATAAGCAATCTCACGTCACTCCAGCGACTTGAAATTAGACATTGCTCTAATTTGGCATCACTGCCAGAAGGGATTCGCGGAGTCCCTTGTTTAAATAGATTGAAAATTTCTGGGTGCCCCATGTTAAGCAAAAGATGCAAGAAAGAAAGGTGAGGACTGGCCTAAGATTGCTCGCATCCCACATTGACATTAATTAAGGTGCGTTTTCTAACTTGTTTCAATTCACACTAGCCTAATTCAATATAAACTACGAAATATTCAAATGCCAATCTCATTTCTTAATTTTATTCTTCATTCATCATCACCAGCATTTTACTTTTTCTTTTCAAATGACATTACCATGTGGATCAAAGTTTCCCTCGTCCATACTTTTTAACTTCAATTTTTTTTTTATCTCTCTTTAATTTCCTTCTTTTCAATTATAGTCTTATATGCAGCGAATGGGGCGTCAACCTTTTGGATTCAATATGTGATGGCCACGATGACTGCTTGGAGTGGTTGTTCATGTTTTTTTTTTTTTTTTTTGATCATCAAGGTTTAGGTACTATGTCCCCCCTGTTGTAATGTTTTTTCTTCAGTAATATAATATGGGCGTGAGGGCCAAGCCCCCCAGCTTTGACTGGGTTCCAGCCCTCTTTAAATATTTCTTTTTAATATAACTCCAACAACAGCGACCATCAAAAGAGCTTCCCAGAGCGACATGATCTCGTTGCCATAATAATCCTTTGTACAAAGGCAATTCTAAAACCATAAGATACCTAAAACAAACCTACTGATATTACAGAATGGTTTAACCCAAAGTTATTTAATTCAAACACCGAACGCAAACCCTAAGCACCTTTATAGTCCTTAAACCCGGGAAAGAGTGTATACTCACAGTTGCAGAATCCCAAAGCCACGCTTGAAACGTCTGAAGCTGAGGGTTGAGCTTAAGTTGTTCCATGGGTGCATTAGCTTCTTTCCACTCATCTCAGCTTTCAATGTGGCATTTTCAGCAGCCCAGATCGCATCATCCACCTAAAATATTGCAAAAGAAAAATGTTTTAGCTCCTAAATCCAAACAGCAAAAGAAAAAACACAGCAAAAGAAAAATGTTTTCAGTAGCACAATAGATAATCTTGTTACAGCCCTGTACTGCGGCGTACAGGGTAGCAGTATCACCCACATCCCCAGTCAATGGCAAGACAGATATGAAAAAAGAGAGAAAATGATAACACCCACCATTTAAAGAGAACAACAAAAAAATATCTTGCAAACCCTTGATTTATCGGTAAAGCACATCAGAACCAAACAGTTAAGAAAATAATTTAAAAATTAAAACCAATTCTATATTTCTAATCAGAAAGAGCATTTCACAAAATTCCAGATCTGCTACACCATCAAAGGACAGACCGAATAGGAAAACGACATCATTCATTATCCAGATTGAAACAACAATCCCACTAAAATTGACTACTCATAAGAATCTCATTCCACAAATCTGAAAAGGAATGAAAACCCTGTTAACCAAACCCATCAACAGTCACATAAGCCTCACCAATCGTAGCAAACAAAACCAAGCCGACGTGGTCAACAATACAAAAAATACTCTGAACATCAGCCAATATACAGCACGTAGAAGCAACGCAATTTTTTTAATTTTTTAATTTTATAAAAATACCCAAATCCGTAATGATCCTAACAGTTAAAATTAGGGTTTGATAATTAGTGCACCTACTGCTATTAGACTTCGATCCCCGGGAATTACCGGATACTGTTGATGATGCCATTGTGTTCAAGCCAATGGATTTCAACCCTATTCGCAAAACATCACAAACTCCATCAGAAAAAGATCCCGACTGGAATATGGCTAGGGCGGACTGCCTTAGAGGAATGGGCAGAAAAGGTTCCCGCTCCGAGCATCCAGCAGCTCAAATACCCAAATTAATAACCAAATAATCGAAACCCACAATAAAAAATCATACAAAAATTAATGCTTTCACAGAAAAATGTCTAAAACCGACAAAACCCACAAAAAAAAAAAAAAAATATTATACAAAAATCTCACCGTGCTCAGATATACTAATTAAGATTAAGGGGTTTTTATGAGCAAGAACACATACAAACTTGGAAATGTCATACAATCCAAACCCTTTTCCAATATTAGCCACAACGAAATGAGGCCGTATCGGCCCAGTCAGAACCTTCTCGATAACCTCCTTCACCGCAACCTATCAATTCCAACACAAAAATTGAGAATGTGTGAGAAAATTTGAGCTTGTAATTTTCTCGGAAACCAAACAGGGGTCTAGACTTTAAACCAAACCTTAGGAGAGGGGTGGAGAGAGAGGGCAGAGGCGAGCTTCGGGCGAGCAAGGATTCGGCTGCAGATTGGGTTCCAGAATTTGCTAACGCACGCCGCTGATGCGAATGATAAGGCGGGTAGGTGCGAGAGGATGTCGTCGAGAAGGTCGTCGTTTAGCAGATTAGGCGTGGAGGGGGAGGGAAAGAAGCGGTGAAGAAGCAGAAGGCGATGCGTAGTCGAAGTGGAGAAAGCATCCCCGAAAGATTTAGGGTGGTTCGGTTTCGGTATTTTGCCAAAATCGAAACTGAACCAAAACTTCGGTCCGTTCAGTTCGGTTTAATTTTCTTTCGGATTTTTAGGTTTGGTTTTTTTTTATTTGGTTTTGTTCGGTTTAGTTTCAATTTTTTTTTATTTATTTTATAAAATTTGATATTTTTTATATGAAATTTAAAAAAAAAATTTGCATTGGTAGATTAATAATAAGAAAATGAGGTCACTTGGTATTACGATTTAGTGATATTTCTCTTTACTTGTAAGTGATAAGTGTTAGGTTTGATTCTCGCCAAAGGTGAAGTTGAACCACATTATTGTTAGTCCATTGTGAGACTAGTCCACTAATTCCCCTTAGTGTATATAATATCGATTATTAAAAAAATGATAATATCGATTGTTCAAATAATAATAATAATAATAATAAAATAGGAAAAGTGGGAAAGTGAGAAGGTAGTTGTACATATACAAGATCATATAAACCAATCAAATTCTATCAACAATCTCAATTGCAAAGAAAAATGATCAATTTTTGTCATTTGTTTTGGTTTTTCAATTTTGGTTCGGTGTTTGGTCCCATTTGTTTTGGTTTTTGATTTTTTGAACCCACCCCTAAAAAGATTTATTCGTTTTTAAAGGATGACATAATTGATTCCATCCCCTTCTTTAGACTAAAGAAATGACAATAAATGATACAACGTCAAAAGACTCAAAAGTATCACTAGGGGCCAAACAAGAGATTGAAAACACAAAGCAGCACAACCAACCTAATTCTTATATGACATGATGTTTGTAGTTTTTAAACATATATTATACGATGAAAGTGATTTCCGTCCTTCTTATAGACATTTAATTGAACCGATCAAAAGAGAATTAACGAAGAAAAAGTATTTCATATTACAGCAAATACTAAACATTTTATGGTAATTGTTACTCATATGTTTTAACTTCTTGTTGTATGCAATATATACAGAAATCATGACTTCTACAATTGACACAAGGGAAGATGCAAGAGGGCGGCCTATTCAAAAGGCAATGGTACATACAAATCTTGTATCAGCCTTGAAACTTTCTGGTATCTGCATTGGTATTTTGTTCACCGAAGTTGGCAGAATGGGGACGTAATGTGTACCAAAAAATTATAGTTGAATTATTTTACGGTTTTGCTTTGAGAAATTCTCTGCTTGTTTTGCGAATCAATTCTCGGTTTCTTTTGCAAATGTGTCATTTTGACAAATTAAGCAAATAGTTTGAAATTCAAAATTTTAACGGTTTGGCTGATGGAAGTGGCGTTCCGTCAGTGGCATGGATTGAAAAAATAAAAATTGTTTGCACACTGGATTAACTTCCATCTTGTGGGCCCTTTATTTAAGCTTGTTTTCTTTTAGTTTTTGTCATTTTCATTAAAATTCATGTCATTTTCATAAAATAAAGTTGCTTTGTGATTTTTTGTTAAATTAAAGTTAGCTCAAACCGTCTGACATTTTACCGTTAACTACATTTTATATTGACGATTGATGATGATCCTATGATCATGATTTAATCAAGATTTTTCCTTACCAATCAATTAAGATGTATTTACTTATACATTCAGTTTTGCTAACAATATGTTGGAAAACTGAATACTTACACCGCGTCCAAATCCCTCTTACATGCTTTTGTAATGGTTTAATCTCTCCAATCTCACATTCTGCAATCCATTTTTTACTAATTTGGTGTCAATCTCTTGAGACTTGGAAATCTCTCACTCAAACATAATCATACATAAGGGGATGTTTGGTATTACTTTTGATCCAATTTATTGTTTTGAAACTAATGCATATTAATTAATTTAGCCACATTTTTCATTTATTTAAACAAAAAATCAGAATTAACGTTTTTTATTTCAGGAAACGTTGCTGATCGAATTTTAGGGTTTTGTATAGAATCTTGCAATGTGACATCCCGTCCCGGGATTATTAACACGTACGTGTGGAATTACAATTTTGCCCCTAGTGTGTTTTCGTCACTTAGTGGGGTTGTTTTGTGTGTTGTGGCATGTGTTGGGCCACACACACACCTGCACACTCTCTGCCCTTCCCTTTCCCTCTGTCTCTCTCCTTCCCGTGTCTCTCTTTCTCTCCCCCGAGCTCCCACTACCCCTGTAAACGTACAGACATAAACCAAGGACCTTTAAACCGTAGCAGATCGAGGAAACCAAGAGTGCAGTTGTGATCGTGAGGTCGAGGGGAGCACGAATATACCACTTGCAGGTAAGAACTTCGACGTTTTCACGTCGATATCGCGATGTCCGTTTTGAACACTGTTCATGCAACATTAATTTACTTAGTTTTTGGACATTTGAAGCTTGTAGGTGGGTTGGTGAAGTCCTAAGGAGCGTCGGAGTAGCTCGTTGGACGAAGTTGGACGTCGGGAAGGCCTGGTTCGAAGTTGGCCGGTTTTTGAGTTTGGGGACAGGTATGATTGCGTAACTTTTAGCCTTTAAAAGTGGTCCAACGTGATTCTACTAGTTTAGGGCTTTCTTTTGGTCCAAGAATCATAGAAAATGGTTGAGAAACGAAGGAGATTAGTGAGTTTGAAGTTTTCCAGTTTTCCGGTGACCGGAGTCCGGCGAAGGTCGGCCGGAGAAGAAAGGAGAATATTCCGTTAAGTTTAACGGAATATTCCTAACGGCAGGGGTTAAGTTTAACGGAATATTCCGTCAGGTTAACGGAATATTCCTGACGGCGTCTGTTGACACCGTCAGTGTGCTTGGCACGTGACCGCGCGTGGGGGCGCGTGGGTCCGTGCCTGTTCTGGCGCGTGGGGGCGCGTGCGGGGTCCAAAAATTATTTTAAAAATATGGTTGTGATCCTGAGGTTGTGTAGAGCACGTTGGTATATTCATTTGTCCATTTTGAGCAATGTATGAGAAGTTATTACGAGAAACGGGTTATGTGCTTTAAAGTTAACGTTTTTATAGTTGTTTCGCATCTAGGTGACACGTACCCAGAGGACGAGCGTGCACATGCGAGACAGGGGGGCTACGACCCTTCTACATACCAGTGAGTGGGCTTTTGTTTTCCGTATATACCTATATACATTTATATTCCCAGAAATTGATTTAAAAAGGGTTATTTGCCTTATGCCATGTACTTTATTATTTATCGTTTATGCATCGTTGCATGCATTATTTGTGGCATACATATACATATGCATATGTCATATATATTTATGTGTGGGTGCTGTGGAGGCATAGGTAAGTGCCAGGTAAGCGTTAATTAACGATTGCATTACATAGTGTTTAGAGATGCTTAGAGAGCTCATAACCTGCACCCCCGGTGTTAGTGCTCCCGCCCAGAGTAGGGCACAGTCCTTCACGTGTTGTTCACCTCCCGCACCATACGCTCAGCTTGGATCCAAGTTAGGTGCATAGGCCTGTCGTACAGACCACAGTAGGTGGTTCCGACTCGTAGGTGACCCGCGATTATTCGCACAGCCTTCACGTGATCGTAGCACTAGAGCGTATATACATGTTACACCCAGGCCTGTCGTACAGACCCCTTTAGGTGGTTCCGACTCGTGGGTAGGTTTATTTGTGAGATTGATATTTGAGCTCTATATACAGCCGTACAGGTCACGTTAGGTGACTCCGGCTGCCAGAGGATTGGGTGATTGATACGACTCACACCTGAGCACTTGCATATCATTAGGAGATTTTGACATAGCATATATTGAGCATGATTGGCATACCCTTGAGCATGTTTGGGCATATCTATACATACGTACATATGTTATTTTTCTGGGAAGTATACAGGTTTTACGGCGAGGGGTTAGATTGTGTTTTGCTAAATGGTTTTCAAAGAGCTTTGTTTTTGCCCACTCACGCTTTTGTTTTGCGCCCCTCCAGGTTCTAGTTGCTTAGCCGTTGCGGTGGTTTCCCTTGCGAGCTTTTCGGCGTTCTGACAGACACTCCACATTGTAGGGTCGCCTTCGGGCGTACTACTGTTGTTGTTTTATTTGGACTGCTATAGACCTGCTCTGAATTTGTATCGCACTAACTAGCACTTATTCTAGTACTAGAATGCTAGTTTTTAATTATTCGTACTTTTATATTACTACTCTATTAGCTTCCGCACGTGCACATGGCTACGTCGCCTTTGTGTGACGGCCAGCACGCTCCTATCTCGGTCGGGGTGTGTCAGTTTGGTATCAGAGCCTAGGTTTGGCAGTCCTGTGTCCTTGTGAGTATTCTAATAATTTTGGTGTCTTCTGTCAGAACTATGCCGCCTCGTCGGGAACCCCGTCGCTCTTCTGAGCCTACGTTCCCCGATATTACTCAGTTGGGGGAAGCTTTTGCTACAGCCCTTCAGGCAGTGATGCGCCCTCCCCAGAGGACTCCTCTGGAAACTATGTACAATCTGAAGTTAGATAAGTTTAAGGGTAGTGAGGGACCCGAGAACGCAGAGCGCTGGCTAGAACACATAGAGAAGACTTTTCGGGTGCTACATAATCAGGGGAACTTGCCTATGGAGAGATGGGTTGAGACGACCGCTTGGTTTCTTGATACGGAGTCGGCAGCTTGGTGGGAGCAGGAGCTTCGTAGGTTGACCCCGGATCAGAGGATCGATTGGAATGTTTTTACGAGGTTGTTTAGGAGAAGGTATGTGCCCTCTGAGTATATTGACCGTAAGAAACAGGAGTTTTCCGAACTGAAACAGCGGAAGATGTCAGCAAATGAGTACTACCGTAAGTTTACGGACTTGTCCCGTTATCACCCTGATGTCGCTGGTAATCCGGCGGAGATGCTCCGTCTTTTCCGTTTGGGCACTAGGAAGAGGTGGCGTTCTATGGCGTCTACAGTCCACAGTGAGACTTACCGGGACTTCTATGAGATACTGCTGAGGATCGAGGATTCGGAGAATATGTCAAGCGATACTGATGAAGAGAAGGACAGCAACCAGAAGAAA